CTCCCTCAGCCTCTCCTCACAGGACAGATGCTCCAGTCCCCTCCTCATCCTCGCAGCCCTCCACTGGACTCTCTGCAGTAGCTCCTCATCTTTCTTGAAGTGGGGAGCCCAGAACTGGACACAGCACTGCAGGTGGGGCCTCACTAGGGCAGAGTAGAGGGGAGGGAGAACCTCTCTCGACCTACTGGCCACACTCCTCTTAATGCACCCCAGTGTCTTACCGGCTTTAATTTGCGTCTTACCGGCTTTGGGCTCTGAAATGGAGGACAATGGACAGTTTTCCTTGAGAGGAGCTTGAGGAGAGCTCCTGCTGTGGCTCATTACGCGCACCGTGGGCACAGGTTTCACCGAGTTTGGCTCCAACATTGCCCCATCTGGGCTTGTACCCCCAGACACCAATCTGCTACTTCGGAGCAACTGGCGTGACACAACCCTCTCGTTATTTCAAGTATTTTGTTAGGAAGGTGCCCGCCTGCAGAATAATCACAGCCGGTGGCTGCAAAGGTGTGCCAGGGAGGTCCGGGCTGAGCGGTTTCCAGTGTTCTGCAGCCCATCTGCTCTGGAGGGCACGAACGCCCCGCGAACGGGAACCGTTGGCTCCGAGGCCAAGATTTCCTCAGTCTGAGAAGACCGTCAGCCTCCTGCAGCGCTCATCCACCAGGCATCAGGATGGCGCAGGGTGAATCTCCCCCACTCCACCCCCCTTTTTGCAGCAGGGAGCTCTGGATGCAGCCCGCTGCTGAGCGGCGACGCAATGAGCTGAACCTGTTTCCCCATCACTTCCAGCAGTAAAGTCTAAGCCCGCTGTTGGGTACGATGTTTTTGCACAGATTTTTTGGGGGAGCTTGGCCGAAAAAGTCAGCGAGCGTCAGGTGTCAGGGCAGGCTCACCCGCCTCACCGGTTTTGGCAGTGGGCTATGGCACCTGCCGGGAATCTGCTCTGCCGCTTTGGGTGAGATCTTGGGTTTCCGGGCAAAATGCCATGCGGTGCGGGAGGAGTCCCGTGCACGGCTGGCCGGTCTGACTTGGCAGGTCCGGAGGGGACAGCTGCTCATGTTTCTGTTTTTTAAATCTTCTAGATGGAGTTAGTGTTTTAACAGAGTACACCACAAGTTTGGAGCCTTCTGTGTACCTTATGTCTCGTGAAATACTTTAATGCTGACTCTAATACAGTGCCTGGGCTTTCTGTTCTGCTAGTGTAATCATTAGAAATAAACATTAAACATTGCAAAATGCAGGAAATCACACTTGGCATTTCATAATTGACTTTGGAACTCTGATAATGTTTATTCTTCACTTTTTTGGGGATGCTACCGGCCTGCTGAAACCGTAACCAAACACGGCAAGGCAGCCCTGAGAGACTGCAGTGCTGATATTTGAGGTGCCGAGATGCAATGCCCAGCTAAAACACCTGAATCCCCAGCTCTGTCCTGGATTCTGCAGCTAACAGGTCACAGACAAATATTTTGCTATTCTTGCTTCTGGGGTTTGTAATTTTTTTGCCTTGACGCTCTCTCAGGGCTGTTCTCAGTAGAGGGCAGCCTTGTCAAACCCATGCGCAAACCAGCGGGCACATATTTAATATTTTCCTCGCTGCTCTTGTGTGACTCGCGTGGGTGATGTCCCATGGAAAGGCAGGAATTGTCCATCCTAAACACCTGCGAGGCGTGGGGCTGGCTGCTGACAGTGCTATGGCCATTCCCCAGGCAGGTTCAGGCTTGCGAGGGGAATTATTACTGTAGAAAAATAAAGCGGTAATTCTGGCATATTTTACTCTGAATTTTAGATTTTTTTTTTTTTTAAAGGAAAGCCATTTTTCAAAGATGTTCTAGTCCTCCATGTACGTGGTCTCTGCTGTTTGTACAGGTGGAGAAGCTGTGTAGTCACGTACAAGAGTTACCTGCTATGTTTGTGTCGATAGTCACGCATCCATGTGAGCTGTGCTTTCCACTCCTCAGCATCCTCTTAAAGCTTCCAGGCAGAGCTCTCCGTGTTTCTTTCCTGGATCACATGTCTGAGGATAGTTATTTTATGGTATAGTAACATTTCTCATTAGCTTTTTCACATTAAATCCCCATTTTGCATCATTTTTCAGACATCATGACAAGCTTTTCTGCATTTTTCAGTCTTAGCTGTAGTTGTTTAACTGTTCAGCATATTTGTTTTTAATGCATAGTAGAAATACAGGGCAGATGCTTACTAGGCCTAAAATGTCCTTTGAAATAAATGGATTCACAAAAAGTTACACCAGATTAGAATAAAAATATTTAACTGGATTACAACCAACATGTCTGTTATACTAAGCCAAATAAAGGGAATATCCTTCATGAAATATTCATCAGCAATTCTCTTAGTCAAATCACGCACTGCTTATCTTGGCAAAAAACTTCTGAGATTCTCAGTAAAAGCAGTTTTCTTTCATCTTTATCAGGATCTGTTTTCATTGAACCTTATTCACAGAAATGATTTCTGAATCTGTTTTAAAAACATACTGTCCTGCCCATGATAAAACCAGCAAACAGGACCAGGCCGAACAGCGAACCGTGTCACCAGTTTTGCAGCAAAGGGGCTCGGTACCGTCTTTTCCTGACACAAGAAGTTACTTGTAGATTCTCCTGTAGGTGCATGGTCGTCTACTGAGAACTTCTGAAAAAACATAAAGGAAGACCTGGGAGGAGAACCACACAAGGCTGCTGATTTTAATTAATGCATGTAATTTTGAGGGGCAATACTGCCAGAATGGCAAAAGAGGTCACGCATAGAACGTGAGTGGTGCATCCAGTGGTGCAGAACAGTCTCTCAAGATGGGCAGCAGTCATAAGACTCCTCATAAGCGAAGGAAAGAAGCTAAATCAGCTAAATCAAGCTTTCCTGACCCTGAACCAACCAACCAGCTTCACAGTTCTGGGTTGGCAGCCTCCTGTTTCCTAGCCAATGTCCACAGTCATGTCTGAGGGAAGCTCTTCCAGCTCTTCCGCGGGATGCCAAAACACGAGCACAGACAGATTTTGCAATTTTTCCTTTGCTTTTGACAACATTGCATTCGGGGAAACAAACCAGAGCCTGCTCATCAGCAGAAGTTTTACTTTCGCCTGCAGAGCTTGTGATGAATTTTCATTTGATTTGATGGTGTGTAACGCTGATGCACCGACTAACGGCTTAAGCCAAAATGCAATATTGCAATCTGAACTCACAAAGCCTTTCCTCTTGCCCACAGTGAAAGAAAACAGCGTCCCTGCCTCACGCCCGGTTTCACGCCCCGAGAAGCCCCCGACTGCTGCCGGTGGGAGCCCCTCCGTGGCTCTCGTCCCTTGCCCTCCCGCGCTGGCGCTCGGCATGGGGCCAGGAGATGTTGCCAAGACCCGTCGTGTTCTCCATGCCCGCGGCACCGGCTGGCTGGTGGGTGGGCACGCTCCCCATGCCCTTGTGCAGGGTCTGCTCCCTGCCAAGCCGTGCCCACCCGCGCTCGGAGCGCCCCAAACTGGGCCCGGCTCCTCCCCCGACGCAGGCAAGGTTACACCTCTCCTCCCTACGCCTGTCAGCGAACAGCTGGACTTCTCTGGTTACATGTGTGCAACCGTTTAAAAAAAACATCCAGACCGGCTTACTCAGCAGATTATAAAAGCGTGATTTACAAAATGCGGCTTTCTTCCAGATCAGCCCGTGCCGTTGTGTTTATGTGACTGAAGGTCTCAGCTGATCCCTTCTTGTCTTGTGCAGCCAAGAGGTTTGCAGCAGCAGCAACAGCCACGGCCAGTACAATACTGTAAGTCACTGGGAACGTTTTTTTCTCTCAGTTTGGAAGGGGTTGGTGTTTGGTGTGTCAGATCCATAACAATTACTGCATTTCTCTAGCGTAGAAAATAATGAGTATCTTCTGCTGGGGCTACGACTGTGCTGCCCTGCGAGATGCAGTGTGGTGCCTGCTTTATAACAGCGGCATGAATGAATGATGCAATCGTGCAGGGGGGAAGCATCATCATTTTGTCAGGACAGGCAAGAGGGGATTGGAGAGTTGGGAGGTCTGTGTCAACATCCACCAGGTTCCTTCTACCCCTTTTCAACTACTTTTAAAAAGGTGCTTAAATAAATTCGCTGTTAGGCACTGCTGTTCAGATATTCGTGCACAGCTGCAAACAGTCCATCTCTTGACTTGCATACAGGTTTGTGTTACTACCTGTAAAAACTGAACAGAAAACCAGGAAGAGTGAAGCAGGCTTAGTGAGGTTAAGGATGGAATCTTTCTATTCTCACACTGAAAACCACAGAACCTCACAGTTATGGGTGGATGGGTTGAACTTTTAAAGAGTAGTACTTGCAGGAATACAAACAACAGTAACAATTTGCTTAAATATAACTAATCTGATTAAACATATCCTCCTTCCTCTAAAGCTTTCAAAACAGATTGCTATTACTGAGAATTAAACCTCAGCATAGTAAAGCTGTATTACAATATTATTCCCATTTTACAGACATAGGACTAGAAACAATGAGGATTTGTTTAATGCCATGGAAACACTCCCGTGAACATTCTTATGAGCAGAATCACTCCTGTAGTGGGATCAAGTCCTGAGAAAAGTTTCAAGAACAATTTTCTCCAAATCCCATACTCTCAGCAGCCGTTTCCCCTCAATGCAATAGAAACAGTTTAAGGCGGTTGTGTTTCTGTTACTCTCCCTGCACGTTCAACGCAACGTTACTCTGTTGTGGGAATGTATCTCAGAGTCATTCTGTTCTCATCCACACCAGTGCAAACCTGGATTAACTTCACTGGTACCAGGGAAATAACTCCAGGCAAAGTGAGATCAAAACTGGGCTTCTTGTGCAGCCACAACTCCAAGTGAAGGGCTCACTCTCACCTCATTAAATGGGAAAGTGAATCAGAATCAAAAATACCAGAGACCATTTGCATACTGTAGGATATTCCAGAGTAATCTGTTTCAAAAGATATCTTAGGTAATATTTCATGAAGATTCACTTAACATTCATTTTTTCACAGCAATAAATGTGAACATAATGCAAAGTGGCAGCGTGGCAGCACTTCTGCAAGCTGAAATATGATAACAAGTGAAGTCTGGTCACAGTGAGGATTTTGAGCTCTCATTAAGATCTCATCAAAACCTACCAACCCCAGAACACCCGGAGTTCTGAGTCTCATTTACTTATTCCTTTCGCATTGTATGTCGCCGATACTGCAGATGTTTCATTTTTTCACTGTGCGGCAAGTGCCCTGCTTTGAAGGGTCAGCAAACAGACAAGATTTCAGTTGTTTTCCTTCGACATGTGCTCTTACATAATTCCCGTGCTTGCTTCTGTGACTCCACCCTCTCGGTTACGAAACAGAAATATTTCTTGTGGAAAGGCCAGGTTTTTTTTCCAAATGGCCTAATGAAGTACTTCGGAGTCTGGAGGCAAGGAGATCTCACGGGAATTCCACTTTTCCCTTGTGATTTCCTTTTTCTCCATCTTTATCTCAAGTTTCTCTGCTCTTTTCTTATGCTTTCTCTAGTCACTTCTTTGCCCATTGTTTGTTCTCTACCCCACTTTGTTCTGTTCAGTTTTTCCCCATAATATTTTATTATTGGACCTGCTGAAGTGTTTGCTGCTTGGATGCTTTTCCAGCATGCAAATAATCGGATAGGAATAGGTTACCTATCTGAAATTCAGTGGCGGGAAGACCGGAGGTTTTCTACCCATGTTTTTCATATGGAGACAGAACTCCTTATTTGTGAGAATTTCTTTTTTCTTACCATCTCATTAAAACATTGACGCCTTTAAGCAATCAGATGCCCTGTATTTCAGAGCAATTAATCTCTGCCGACTGTAGAGGCCTATACCACTCTGGAATAAAAAATTGCTCTTCTCTTACTACAGCTGTTAGAGATTTGTCCATAGAAAGTTTTTACACAGCTTCAATTCTTTTTGCTCAAGTGACACGTCCCTGTGGAGAAGCTACTGTGTCTGTCCTGATTTCCTATGTGCACTTACCCAGAGGTGAATTCTAGGCAGCTTCCTGGTGGACACCATGCCAGGATAGCACAGTGAAAATTCTGAAAACAAGAGAGGGAGCAGAACCTCTTCTCCTGCTTGTATTTTCCCCCACTCCTGTTGGCCATTACTCAATCACTGATGGCCTTGCCTTATGCTCTCATCTACGTTTAGGGCTGGGAAAAAAATTCCACAAGTTACTGAAATTGGCATGTTACCATTTGGAATGGCATTTTCCAACCTCTGGAGCTGATGGTGACCCCTGCAGCTCTGCCAACAAGGGCAGAAGGACCTTATTTCACTCCAGGTGAACCACCTCTAACTCCTAAAATTTGCTTTTCCCACGAGCAAGGCTCCCTGCAATAGCTGAAGCTTCCTTCATAGTTTCTCCTCTTTGCTGCTGTATGAGCTTCCCTACTTTACAGTTCATCACAAGTTCTCCAACATGATACATTGGCCAAAACCAGGTCTGTCTTTTCCAGGACTCAGTGCCCAGCTATAGCAGAAAGTGGAAATATTTTAGCAGGTCACAGGCTGAGGGAGATCAGGAGCTACTGATGGTTTCTGCATTTCAAAATGCAGTTCCTCCCTTCCAACTTGTCATTTTTAGGCACTACAAACCCCAGCTTGAAACTTTTTTGAAAGAGTTATTGCATGGAACAAAGAGAGGGCAGGGTTTATTCCAACCATGGCTCCACAACTGGTATCTGTAATTCCTCCTGTAACTTGTCTATTTGTCCATCAAAGTGCAAAGCCCACCACAGCAGTGGTTGCATCACTGTAAGGAGCATACAGAAGGGACAGGAGTATGGGAAATGTGGATAATAGAGAAAAGAAAATGTGAATGTCTCTTCCTTCCTGCTCCCAATGTGTGTTTCTAGCAACAACATTCTTCCCAGAGAGACTAAAATTTTGTAGACATGTCAGAGAATTATAGTAGTTGGCAAAGACCTCTAAAATCAAGTCCAACCATCAACCCATCACCACCATGCCTGCTAAACCATGTCCCGAAGTCCCATATCTACATGTTTCTTGAACACCTCCAGGGATGGTGACTCCGCCACTTCCCTAGGCAGCCTGTTCCAATGTTTCACAACTCTTCCAGTAAAGAAATGTCTCCTACTATCCAATCTAAACTTTCCCTGATGCAACCTGAGGCCAGGAATGTATTTCAGGTTCTCACCAAGAAATCACATCACAGCACGGTATCTCCACACAGTAACGTTGCATCATAATGCAGACATGTTGCAGTACAGCCTCAGGTTAGCATGAGGCAATGTGACACCTTTGCATAATATGGAATTAGTGTTGGAACACCATGACGCAAATGTCATGCCACAGTGATGCAAGAAGTTTGTCCAGTAGAGCAAATCTTTAAAATTGGCACCAAATCCATGGCTGAATTTCTGGTGGACTTTATAACCTCTGGTAGGCTGGAAAAAATTAACACCCTGTCATTTAAAAAATGCTAGTGGATGCATTTTTCTTTAATTCCACTTCACAAATATATTTTGCAAATGGCTGTCAAGGCCTGCCCTCAAGTCAAGCCTTCCTGCTCAGAAAATCACAACCTGCCTCTGAAAATACAAACAGAGTGCTGTGGAGCCAATGTCACGTCAAGGCTAACGCAGAGTACACTTGGAATTCACGTGTCACCTGCCCACCCACTCCCAAGTCTGAGCTCAGAACCAGTCTCGGTCAGAGGGAAGTTTTTATGTTCACGGGCACTTAAGAGACAGAGGTTTCTCTTAAGTACAGTGCTGATGGCATATGACGATTATTTCTTACAAGCACAGTGCTACAAATGCAGTCCTTACAGAAAAATACAGAAAAATGTGTGCCATCTGCAGCAAAAAATTCTTTAGTGATGCTTCTAAGGCTAGACCAGGGTTTTACAATAAGTCCGTGCATGCAACAGCTCTGATGCAGCAAGAGCAGAGACCTGTCCTTGTTCAGTCCTTGCTTCTGCCTTTCCCAGAGGCGCAGTCTGTAAAAGCCCTTTTCCGGAATAGCTCCCCTTTACTGCCTACCCACTCATCTTTCCTTTCTGCCACACTGGGGAGGTTGAGCCCAGGCCCTGTCCTACCTTCCCACATGTAAACTGAGTGCGCGGAGGGGAAGTATGGGCTGGGTGATACCCGCTCGCCCATTCTCGCTCACACCCGCGACGTAGATGAGCACTGAGGAAGCGACTGTGTCACCTTCTCGGCCTTGTGCAGAAGCCATGAGTCCACTCTGGTTAGGTTACTACAGTAGTGTGTTCACACCAAAAAACTCACGAATAGCTAGAACAACCCTCTGAGACAGTACTGCCTCATGGCTGCCTTTGGATAGCTTTGCCTTTAATGTG